AATGTTCCTTCCTTTGGGGGAGGGGGGGTCAAGGGTTTAACCGGGGGGGAATGCAAAAAGAAAGGGGGCCCCCCCCCCCCCCCCGTGTCAACTGATAACTGATAATGATGAACACCACCGTCACTTCGCGAGCTCGGCAACCAGGTAACCGTTTTTTTTTCTACCTGTGTTTTTTTTTTGCGGTAACCATAATGGTGGTCGAGTAGATCATGTGTGGGGCCGAGAACCCTCACTCCGCGCAAGGGGGATGATCGCACCACGTTGTGTTAAAATGGTCAAACATCCTCGAGGCAGTTACACAGTCAGTGCTTATAACTGTCTCTGGGAGTGAAAGCGCCAGAAAATAAATAAAGTCATGCGCAGCTGTCATCCAAAAATAAAACTGCTGTGTGATGGTAAATCATCAGTGTATAGACTTAAAAAAGACTCGAAATAAGTCCAGTACCCAGCCGGTTTTCCTCCACCCACTGCAAAGACTCCACCACATCCCGTTCTACTGTGGGTATATCTCGAATGGGTAGTCTTTGTGTGTGTGTATTATTATTCCTTTAGGGGGGGAAGAAGAGCAATTTTGATGTTGACGAAGTTTGAAAACAAACGCAAGAGGTCCAGAAATTGTACAACAGACATACAAGACCAGTCGGGAGGCATCGCGAAAAACAGCAATCGTTGATTCTCGCACAGGGCGGCAGTAGAGACTGCTCAAAACATACATTTCACGCGTCTACCTCCACAGGCTTCCTTTGAAATCAAGATAAAAGTTCGCTCCATTCTAAATTCAAGACAAAAGAGCCAAAACGGAAGGCGCTCAAATAAGGTCAGTTTTGAGGCTTAAGTTAGGCATTCTATTGTCAGCAGTAGAGGACATCATGAAGAGGCGTCGTGCGTGCTGGCACGTTCAGGTTTGCTACTGGAGCTGAAATATCGCAGATCGCAGCAGCCGCTGAAAACAGTCCGAAATCTGCGCCGGAACCAAGCGGCATCCAGTATTTGTCACAGCCATGCTCGCCGTCACCGACCCCAATCTCCTGAGCTACGGGTTTACAGCAGTAGCTGATGCCACTAGCTACTGCTGACACCCCTCCGTTCAGGGGTTTACGGTCCGTGGCGGTGAGCATGGCTGTGACAAACGTTGGATGCCGCTTGGTTCCGGCGCAGATTTCGGACTGTTTTCAAAGGCTGCTGCGACCGTCGATATTTCCGCTCCAGTAGCAAACCTGAACGTGTCAGCACGCACGACGCCTCTTCATGGTGTCCTCTACTGATGACAATAGAATGCCTAACCTAACCCCGGCGGGCCTAACCTAAAAAAAAAAAAAAACCGGCGGGAAGGTTGTTTTCTTTCTTTGTAAAGGATTAAAGTATGGGAAAAGAGCCAGCGTCAAAACCGCTATTCTTCCCCCATATACTGCTGTACAAACGAGCCAATGGTACGAACGCACGAGCCTATTTGCAGGTACTTTTTTTTTTTTTTTCTTAATATGACACAACGAAACCATCTCTATCATAGAGTCTGAGACAGATTAGCAATGGTTTCATAGCGTCAGAAAGTACCTGTATGTCTACGATTTCCCAGACAGCATATAGGGACATCTCCCCTGCGGGTAACAGGCTCAACAAGACAGTTTGGTAGCTGTCTTGTGTGTCTTTTTTCTTTTCTCCACAATAAAAGGATTCCACCTCCCCATCTAGTAGTAAGAAGATATGCATATACGATCGCAGAAAAGACGTGGGGACTACATGTTCGACATGATAAACCCCAATCGAAGGGAAGGGTGTTCCAAGTCTTTGCAGTGGGAGTGCGTAGAAGAGCCTGGTGGAGATACTGCGCTTATGTACTTCGAGCCATGTATTATATCAAATATAGTCATGTAACCAAGATTTCAGGACTACTGGGATGGATATTCCAGCATTGGTGCTGAATTCCAGACTGCTAAATGTTTGTGTATGCACATGTATTCAGTATACAGAGCAGTCCCAAAGTAGGTGACATGGCTCAAGGACGAGCCGTTCACTCGTTCTCGTGACTCGTGCGAAACGCGCGTCAACCGCGAGCTTACCTCTCCTCCTAAAGAGCAAAAAAGCGAGTTCCAGCGAATAAGAGTGGGGCCGACAACGCAAATGGTATGATGAGAGAGGTCAGATGCATGTTCCCCAATAGTCCAACAGGTTAACTACAGCAGTAGCACACGCACACATGTTTTGTCTGCATGTAGCGACGCAGGTAAAGACTCACAGAAACTTTCCGTCCAGGTCGAGCAGGCACGCGTAATTTGTTCCAGGATAGCACAGCTCAACGCCACTCAGCTTTTCCCTCAACTGATCTTGGAGGGTGGGGCCCATACCCGATCGCTTTCGGCAACACCAGCTCATTGGCCTCCCCCTCTATGCTGTCTCGCCTGAAAGTCGAGTTATTGTGCACCTCTTGCACACTACTGTGCCTGCTGCTGCACTGCCGTGTTTTTTTTTTCTTAATTTTAGAGGGGGTTAATCCCAGATCCACGGAGCCCCTTGGGAAAGCCGTGTCTGGTGCTGTGTCACATCACCGTCCACCCGTGGGGTCGTGTGATCGGTGAGCGTTTTGTCTTCGGGTGTTCATAGATGTGAACGAAGGCATCACTAAGTTCGTAGTTGGTTTATATCTTTCGGGTGTGCCTTACCCAAGTTTTAGCTACGTACAACCGCCGAGGTGAGCTACTCGTTCCGGAAATGCACATGTTTCATGACAGCATGTGGGCCACGTAGCCAATTGTAAACCAGCTGCCACTCATCACATTCGTTTTGCTCATGGCCGATCTTGCACAGTATCCCGTGCTTCATTAGTAGCGTCCCATAGCAATATTTAGGCGTATGCATAGGTGCGGAATACGCAGCTTCTGCTTCTGACAACACGCCGCGCTCGATCCCGCCCACCGCAACCCGACCCGCCGCACCAACGCAACTCCTCTTCACACAGTGTAGCTAGATATGGCGCGTACCTCGCGCTCAGAGAAGATGCCCTTGTGCAAGGTGGCCATGGCGGCAGCAATATACAGCAGTGTTGGGTCGGAGGCCTTCCAGGGCGGCTTTTTCGCCAAGTCGCTCGGCAAGGTGGGCCCGGTACGTGTTCGCTCTACGCATCAAATGGTCGCGTCGCCCCCCAAGGTTGAGCCGGTTGAAGTTGCACCCGGCTTCAACAAGCCTGGGAGCGGGCGGGTGAAGCGCACTACCGACCCCTACAATCCGGACTTCCATGAGGTGGCTTCCTTCGGAGACGCGTACCCTGAATCTACTAAGCGCTACCAGGAGATTGTCCACGCCGAAACTGGCCACAAGATGAAAGTTCCATTCCGTAGAATCCACCTGTCCGACCCCGACCCTGGATGCTCGCATCTCGACGTGTACGACACTGCTGGCCCCCTTGGAGCGGATCCTAGGAAAGGTTTGCCAAGCGTTCGAGGCGAATGGGTTAAACGGCGGGAGGACTCTGGGGACGAAGTGTTCACTCAGATGCACTACGCCAAGAAGGGCATCATTACTGAGGAGATGGCATACTGTGCTGCGAGGGAGGGGATGGACCCTGAGTTCGTTAGGTGGGCAAGGAAACCACCGGCGATGTGTCACTTGTACGATATCTAGAATATCATGTGGGGTAAATTATGCATACTGCTGCTGTAAATACCTGTTTCCTGGTGATGCGTCCTTCTTCGAAGTATTTCAGTTAATTTGGGTCGCCTCCAAGGCGGCTCAAGATGCCCCCGGCCTAACCGCCCTTCACATGCAAATAAATCCCGGTATTAAATTGCAACGCTCAATTTCCAACCGCTGTAAAATTTTGGAGCATGGCAACCTCCAGTGAGGAATGATATGATACCACCCCCGCCCGTTTCGCGACACCGGCTTTTTACATGCGATAGTTATGTTCCAGAACCTTCGAGACTCTACACCGGAGCTGTGAGCGCATTTGATGCATAACTGGTGAAAATTGTTTAGATCTTCTCGTGTCGACCACCTGTGCTTGCGTCGGTCTCCTTGTTAGGTCCGAAGTAGAGCGAGGGCGGGCAATCATCCCTTCGAACAAGCGCCACGTCGAGCTCGAGCCCATGATCATCGGACGCCTCTTTAAGGTGCACTCTTCGTGCGGTGTTGGACTGCTGTCCTTGTGCTTTTGTAGCTGGCGCCTTGTGCTTGCCTGCAGATTAAAACTCCGGGGTTGCCATGTAGGTGATGCGATATCTTTTTGTTGGCGAGTTTGTTTTGAAAGATAGAAATAGTCGACACATTGAGCGCTCAGATTTGGAATGGAATTATCTTCTCGCACGATGCCACCGTCTCTGTCCCCGCACGTTTTCTGCTTGGTCATTTTTCTCCTGTCGCTCGCACATTCTCCTCAAAAAGTATGCCCTTCGAAATTGTTGAACTTTGAGACAACACAGAATATCTCCTCTGCCGTGAGTTCTTACAATGCAACCGTCCGTTCCTTATGCGTACCCACGAACAAACCTTCGAAAGGGTAAATGATGTGTTCATACTTACACGTACAACTTGTGTTCAGCATATTGTGTTGACAATCGTATCTATGTGGCCCTCGTTCCCCCGGCTTCCCTACGCAGGTTAAAGTAAACAGCAACATCGGGAACTCGGACGTGGTGAGCAGCGTCGAAGCGGAGGTGGAGAAGCTGCAGTGGTCCACGCTCTGGGGCGCGGACACCCTTATGGACCTGTCGACTGGGGCACACATCAGACAGACCCGCGAGTGGATCCTGCGGAACTCTCCTATTCCCGTAGGAACCGTGCCCATTTACCAGGCCTTGGAGAAGGTATTGATTTTGCATAAGAATGATCGTGTCATAATTGAATCCTTGTAAACAATGTTATTCGTGTACTCCGTATAAACCAGTAGATGTCCAGAAACGACCAGTATCGCTTTCTCGCCATGAACTCTCGCTGGTGGATATTTATTTTTATTCCATGAGCTCTTTGATTACAGTACTTCAGCCATCTTCATGAGACGTCTCCGGTGTTTGGAAATCACGTCCTTTTATGTCCTTTTCGCCCGAGACGTGAACGGTGAATCGTCCCCACTCAACACACTACGCACCCAGCAAAGCGCCACACGTAAAAATAGCTGCGCAGCCAGCTGTTTATTTCACTCGAAGAACGTTTGAGGCGGACCACTGCTGTTGATTGTCAGGGTTGTGAACGCCCATTAGCTATTGGTTTGTGCCCGACGCACGCGTTCTTTGTGTGGGTCGTACCCTTTGCGAAAACCCGAACTGTTTACCCTGCAACTCTCCCGTGTTCGTAGAGAAGCAGCAACGAGGGAGCACAGCAAACGAACAACACACGAGCAAAACTGCGCGTGTGATCGGCTGTTCTACATGCACTGTAGATAAAGCAGGGGTGTGTGAATTCCCTTGCATTGTGGCCGTGTGTATGTGAGGATGTGATGACGCAGGACAATCTCATTATACGCACACAAGACCGTGAGTAGAGCACGGGCACTACAGTACGCGAGTAATGCCCCTTCTGCCTGTTTCAGCGGTACTACTCCATGGGATGGCGTGGGGTTGCTGCAAGCTAGCTCCGACTGCATTTGCTCGAGGCCGCGACTGTTTTTAGTGCTATTCCGTGTTTTTGGAGACACCTGGCGGGGGCTGGGTTGGAGTTTCTTCGTAGCTGGGTTCTCCCAATACGTCACATTTTTTAACGTTTGAGATGAGTGAGAAGACTCACTTGCCGTTTTGAAACAATGCGTCTGTGGTGCGACTTTAGGGCAGAGTAACCTAGAGTGTGGAGATGCAGCTCACATGGTGAGGGGTCCATGGTTGCGGCATCGAAATTCGCCCATACTTTCGCCGAAATTGGAGAGCAGCGCATCTCATTATTTCACTGTCCACATGGCACAGCAGTTCGTGTTTAAGGTGCTTTCACTGAAACGGCCCCCACCAATTACCATGTAGGTACACATGACCTTGTTCGGCCTAACCGGTTCCCTGTCTTGTTGCTTGTCGCAGGTGGACGGTATCGCTGAGGACCTCACGTGGGAAGTTCTCCGCGACACGCTTATCGAGCAAGCCGAGCAGGGGGTGGACTACTTCACGATCCATGCGGGGGTATTGCTATCTTTCGTGCCGCACACGGCCGACCGGTTGACGGGCATCGTCAGCCGAGGTGGATCTATCCATGCCAAGTGGTGCATCGCGCATCATAAGGAAAACTTTGCGTACGAACACTGGTGAGTGGTGCGCCTATCTTATTCTTCGAAGTATCATTTACTTACGGAGTGCGCTGTGGGGCTCAGCACGGGAGGCTGGTATTCGATGCCACAGAGACCATATGTCATTTCTGGGGCAATGTAGTCACGAGCACTTGTGTTGGTCGACGGAACATGCTGATGACGACAGGATGCTGAACTTGTTACAATTTTTGGTGCCAGGGACGAGATCCTCGACATTTGCAACAAGTACGACATCTCGCTCTCTATTGGAGATGGTCTACGCCCGGGATGCATCAAGGACGCCAATGACTTTGCTCAATTCGCTGAACTCAAGGTCCAGGGCGAGCTGACATCGCGAGCTTGGGCTAAGGACGTCCAGGTGAGCTTTTGTCGACTTGTTTACCATGCCAGGGTCGGCGTTATGGGGAAGGCTCCATTCCACACTTGGGCCGAGCAAGCCTCGGGAGTGGTTCGATCATGGGCGCCGGGAACCGTTAGTATGTGAAAAAGCCTGCTGCGTTCCTGTCCACAGGTTTGGTAGGAACACCGTGATGGGTGGGGGCCACGGAATCACATGCAACTGCGTTTAATTCGTTGACTCATTTGGCTTGCGAATAGCTGACTTTGTGTGGACCCTTTGTGACGTGTACCTGAGAGCGGGTTGTCGGACACTGATCGTGTTGGAAATTGCGTGCAGGTGATGAACGAGGGCCCTGGGCACGTGCCTCTCCACAAGATTCCCGAGAACATGCGCAACCAACTCGACTGGTGCCACGAGGCTCCCTTCTATACGCTGGGTCCCCTCACGACGGACATCGCTCCTGGATATGACCACATCACCTCTGCGATCGGTGCTGCAAACATTGGGGCTATGGGCACTGCCATGTTGTGTTACGTAACCCCCAAGGTATGCATATGTGTTTTGAACGTACCACTTGTTTGTTGGTACCTTGATTTGTGGGTCACCCTGTCACCACGGAAACTCGTTTCTTCACCTCGAGACACTTCAGATTTTTTTCTTCAAACAGGAACAACATTTTGCGCCAACAACGAGGATTTTCAACAGTGCCAAGATGAAGATGCCTTGATTCCAGCGTTTGCGCATCTGATGTAAGGGCCTCGCCCTCCTTGACAAAAATCCGAATGGCCTCCATGCTGTTTCAATTTATCCTGCAGGAGCACCTGGGTCTGCCCAACAAGTACGATGTGAAACAGGGCCTGATGGCTTACCGCATCGCTGCACATGCTGCGGATTTGGCCAAAGGACACCCGCGTGCGCAGGTACTGATGTGGTGATTGCTTCCCAACCATACTTTTGTTGTGCAAGCACACAACTTGACCGCGTCAAATGTGAGGTCACCGTTTGACCACAGGAAATTTTACAGTGTGAGGTTGGTGAGCGAAGCGCCCACGAAAAGCTGCGGTTGACAGTCCCAGGTCCATATATTTATTTGTCTCCCCCACTCAAGTCTCCGCCACGGTTGCGTTCGCAGTGAAATTATCATCGTGAAGAATATGTAGTGTCGACGCTACATCCCCTCCATCCCAATTGCTTGCGATACTGCCCTGGTTTCCACCCCGACAGGAATGGGATGATTGCTTGTCAAAGGCTCGTTTCGAGTTCCGCTGGAACGACCAGTTCAACCTCGCCCTTGACCCCCCGACGGCGAGATCGTACCACGATGAAACGCTCCCAGCAGACGGAGGAAAGACGGCGCACTTCTGCTCAATGTGTGGGCCAAAGTTCTGCTCCATGAAGATTACAGACGATGTGCGAGAGTACGCCAAAGAGCAGGGCTACGGGGTCGAAGAGGCCCTGGCAGCCGGGATGGAAAAGGTTTGCATTGAACGTTCTGGATTCGCGCGGCACATTTTGTGAAGTCACGAGAAACAACCGGCTTCAATAGTATTTTCTCTTCATCTCGTCTGTTGTTGCCTCTCATTGTACGAAGTTGGTTATAGTTTGTCTGGGGGAGTCGAAAGACGAAAGCTTCGACGTACGACGGTTTATGACAGCTTTCACTTGCACCGCTTGCCTTCGGCCGTTTCTGTCACGTGTATTTACAGATGGGCGAGTTGTACAAACAGAAGGGCCAACAGCTTTACTCGGAGGACTTCGTTGAGGAGGACAACACCGGCCTCGAGAACAAGATTCTCAAGAACGAGTGATTGGTTGCGTTCAAGCGAAACGTTTACAGAAGAGTCCGGGAATTTTGATCAGGAATGGAGTTGTGGGAGCAACTTTCGGTGCTAGTCGCGTTTTCGCGGCGAGGGAAGAACCGCCGCTGAGAGAAAACTCAGTAGTATGTATTTTGCCGGCGTCTTCTCAAACCCGATTAACGGAGTAGGTAGTGGAAGAAGTGACCTCACGGCGAAAGCAATTGCGCTCGGATGACCCTGCCCCCAGGGAAAGCAGTGACGTCTAACGTCCTTTCGAGTCTTTGTACGACATCGCTTTCAACGACCCCTTGGTGTACCCTGTACCAACTTGGAACATTTGAAAATGCCACGGGTACCACGTATGTTTGGTAACGCAAAATTATTTCAGGAAATCGGAGATTTCCACTCTTCCAATTTCCAGTCTGATCACCGACGGAGGCCTTCCGCAATGGACTGTTTGCGTTCTTGCAAAGTGGCCCTATATCTCTCGATTTCCTCCTGAACCTCCTTAATTCTTGCCAGTATCTCCATCTCTCCACCCACATGGGCACCTGATAGCCTGGGGTTCACGGACAAGGAGAATTGTTGGTTGTTGTCTTAACATTAAAAATCGTTCCGATCTCTCTCTACCCAGTACCTTCGTATGTCCGTACTGATCCAACACTCGACGCGGTCGATTCCCGTGGTCACAGGTTAACTTACCATAAAAAGGTACACTCAAATAAACTGGCCCCGAGGGGTCCGCAAGTCAAAAGAAATCAACGACAGATATTCTGGAATCCCCCACTCCCTCTGCGCGCTATGCGAGAATGGGAGGGGCGGAAATGAAACTCAATCAACGGCAGTGTGGATTGACGAATGGCAGGGTGGACGTACTACAAGTACAATTTTTGCTGCAAGCAGCCTTGAAAAAAAAAAGTTTACCTAGAATTTTTCCGGGACACCAAGTTTGCGGCAATACTTTCGCGTAATTTGTGTGAAACGAGAGTAGAATGGAGGCGGAAGATACGTCAAATGTCGGCTACATGGCCAGTCTTTCTGCTGCTGTTGCTGCTGTACATGGCCGTTCGTAACATGTTCCGCGACATAGCAACGTCTTGGACAAAATGTGGAGATGTTAAAAAAATAACACACGCCTGCACCCGTCATTTCGTAAAACCCCGTTGTTGACCATGTGTTGCTCTCTGTTGTACCAGTATAATAAGCAACCATTGCATACATAGTCTACATAAATTTACCTTCGTCTTGGAGCCGCATCTGGGTACCCTGTAAACAAGCTGGTGACAATAGTGGCATCCTGCTTGACGCGAGCAAACGCGGACCGAACCTTGTGGTCGGAGATGTCACGGCTGAGAGGCTGGGGATCACTCATGGTGTTTACTACAGCTGTACAGCACCCTTGCTCTACTCTGCTGTTCATACCATGCATGGTTCGTTTGCCGCGCCAAGTCGGAGATCGCAACCGTCCGAGAGTCGGAGATGGGGGTGCATACATACTTAAGGATACATACCTTGAAACGCTTCTAAATCTACTCGCGTCGCCCCTTTTCGACGAAAGGGAGCTGTGGGGATGGTTGAGCTCGGGCAAGTTGTGTTCATGTGCTCTCCCTCTAGGTGATTCTTCAGCATCGCAACAGAGCAAGAGTTGAAGTAAGCGCTGTGTGAGTGGGTACCTGAAACCATGGCGCCTGCAAGCTTACTAACTTTTGCAGGCCTTGCGGCCGTTGCCGGGACTGGCTCGGCGTTCCTACAACCGCTCTCCCTCCCGGCTGCACCTCGATCGCATGCGCTCGCTGGTGGCAGGGGCTATGGTACTCGGATGACGGTGAGAAGAGATCCTTTGGCAGTTTGGGTTTGGTGTGGTTTGCCGGGAATTGCTGTCTCGTGTGATTCGCCGTTGGACGCTTTGACTCACGTAAAGGTCGCGTCAAGTGCGGCTCTCACAACGCGGCTCTAAGTCTGCTTCACCGTTCGGCGAACAAGTACACCAGGGTGCGCGCTTCAATCGGTGGTGTAATCGCCACCCGGATTTTCGAGGACGACAGTGTGTTGGATTTGAGATTCATCCCAGGTCGGATGGGTACATATTCGCCTCCTTTATTGTCACCACGAGTTCTTGCGAGGGTTCCCGATGACCCCCAACTGTGAAGTACTGCTGCAACAATCCAACCTGTGTTGCATACCAGGTACAGCAGATACACATGCAGCTACATTTTGTAGGTTCAATCGCGCTCTTGGTCTCGTTGATATGGTACCTTGCAAGCCGCAAAACTCCAGCCCGTGTTGCATACCAGGTACAGCAGTACACATACACATGCAGCTATTGTAGGTTCAACCACGCTCTTCGTCTCGTTGATATTGATATGTATGTTACCTTGCAAGCCCCAAAACTCCTGAACAAAAGGAGTCCTAAATTTATGTCAGCTGTTGCACAATCTGGCATACCCTGATGCCCAGGTTAACCGTTGTGCACAAGTCCGCAAAGTCGTTCGCAGCTTCGTGCCGTTCGGCCGTTCTCGAAGAGAGTCAGCTGAAGGGGCCAGCATCGCCAGTATCACACAAGATTGAGATGAAAATGTTTACAATTAGCTGCCGCCGCGATGAAACAAGAAATTAGGGCGCTGATATTGACCGTGTCTGCGTGGAGATGTCGCACCCTTAAGGTTGATACGGATGCTGTTGCTGGAGCTCTGGGGCCCCTGTTACAGTTTACGTTGTAATCGTTACACAACTGATCGAGAACTGTTTGCCCGCGCCCTCCCACCCCCGATCCCGTATGCTCCCAAAAGGTGGGTACTACAGCAGAAGCCGAGGCGGTCGGACTAGAGGAATGGACCAAGTACTGCGAAGACACCTCAGCTACCAAGAGAAGAACCTCGCGCACCGTTTGGGCCGGCAAAGTGCCGATCGGGTCCGAACACCGCATCGCACGACAGACCATGACTACGACCAACACCAACGATGTGGACGCCACCGTCGCTCAGGCACGTGCACGCTCCGTGATATCTGTTGTGAACGCTCCCATCCACCGGTGACAGTTTTCGCTTTTTTTTTTTTGCCCCCCTACCTTTCCATCATTTCGAGGACGCGTGGTCAATGGTCTAATCGCTAAGACATGCAAAACATAAGAGTACGCCCCCTGCCTTTGAGAAGTCCTCACTTGTGTGGCCGCCCCCGGTGCATTTGCGCGAATATTCTATGCACGTTCTGGCGACACTGCGGCGGCTGTTCCTGTTGTCATCATTTCACACTGAAAACCCTTCCACAACCACAAATTGAGCACCACGTCCCGGGAACTCCTACCCACACGCAGGGAGTTGCGCGTTCTCGCAGGTGTGCCGGCGCGCAACGCCAAAGTACCTCCTTGTAAATTTATCGCTATTTAACCCGACGTTAAGCATCAAGCGATGATTCTTCGCTTGCACATGGAAGACGTCACCCATTTTCGAAACGACACATCGGCGACCAGGATAAAACATAGAAGTAAAACATACGACCATGTAAAACGGGGAATGTCATTCCCCTGAGGCGAACTGCGCAAGCTTCCGCCGCCACCGTTCTTCCGCTTCTTGAATTATTCCTCTTGGGTATTGTTTAGATCTCGAGATCGTGGGTTGCAGTGGGTTAGACTTGGAGCAAAATGCGTGTTTGTGTGTGTCCGGGGTGTTTCAAACAGGTAACAGAACCCATCGCCCCCGGGGACTTTGCGTTCCGGGGTAGTCCTTTCGATTGATTTCCCCCTCCTTCCCACCCCAGTACCTTTGAGGATTCCCAGAGGTGTGTTTTTCAACCGAAAATATTGAATCCCCGCGGAGGGGGGGTTTACATAGGATTTTCGATATGTGTAATGGTCATTTCAGTATACTCGAGTACATGCAATTCCCGGACGTCAAAGGGTGTAACAGCAGCTTTGCTAGGAGGGAGGGGTAATGAGCCGCAGGGTACGACGCAATACGTGACAGTAGTCTATCTGCGATGCTGTGCGAGGTGCGAGATACGCTGCTTCCAGGCAGCAACGCAGCAACACGGAACGCGCAATCCATTTCTTGCGGAATATGAATTCGAACTGATCTTCCAAGACTGTTGCACCTGCTCCCGCTGGAAGTTTGAAATGTATCACATCATCCGCGGAGGACCACACACACATGCTCGCCTTCTTGCTACAGCAGTACCGCTAAACGATCGACACCTAGCAGCACTGCCGCCGACGTACGCGGATAGATGGTAGCTGACACGAGTGCACTAGGGCTGTTGCTGCTGCTGCTGTAATGGCAATGACTCGCATCTATCTTTTTTCACCCATCATGCACGTTGAGATTTTCCAACGGCAAGAAGAGCGCATCGTCCAGATTCCTTGTTGTGTATCCAGAGAGCCGGCACCAGGTGTGGTGTGTAGTCAGAGAAGGGGCGCCAGGTTTGCTATTTTCTGCTGTGTTTTCACATACGGAAGGGATTGGCCACGGCGGGTGGGTGGGTGTTTCTATGGAGTGGGAGACAGCTGCGTGTCACCTCTGTGTCTCCTACTGGCTAGCTGGCTTCGTACGTACGTACGTATGTGGATCGATCTCCCATAGGTTGTGTTCCGCCTCCTCGACAGCTCCAGGAGTTAGGGTGAGGTGTCTCGACCGAATTTTGGGCACACAAATGCCTGCGTACATAGCACGGCCATTTGCTATCGGTGTGCCAAAGAATGGCCTATTTTTCTTCTTCCTCAGCAGCCAACAGATCGTAACTCGGTGCTGTATCGATCTTGGTTGAGCCCCAAAGGAGGGTTATTTAGGCTTCCTGGAAATCAACTTTGGGGTCCCTGCATCGCGTTGGAACACGCCGATATTAAAAGCCGTTTTTTTCCCTCCTGGGACGGAGGGAAAATAACGGTTGCGGCTTCGCGGCTCCGCGGTTCATTTTCAAGTACAGCCGAAGAGGGTACCCTTGATGGGAATGGGGGCTCTCTTGTTTTTTTTGCGCGGCCCGGCGTACCGCTGGATTCCATCTTGGGTAAGGCAAAGGTTACACAATCTGCGCTTCATTACCCCAGTTTCTGTGCGATGAACCGTAGGGTAAATGTGTATGTATTCCCTGGGCGCCGGTCAATGCTGCTCGAGTTCATTGTTGCGCTCTTGGTTCGGTTTGCGTAATGTTGCTGCTCTCTGGCGGCAGGTGATCAAGTGTGCCGACGCTGGTGCTGATCTGGTGCGCATCACGGTGCAGGGAAAGCGGGAGGCCAAATCATGCAAGCTCATCAGGGAAAAGCTCAACGAGTTGGTGAGGGACCGAAAAACGCTCTACTGTAAAGAGTTATAGTTGGAACGTCACACCGAGTGTGATGGAAACGTGCCTCGTATTGGCACGGCCATCCAACATGAGCCTGGTGCAGACGTGCTCGGAGGGACCAGGTCAGGTGGCTGCGACGAATGATCGGACATGAGCGTACAACCGTGTGCCTCGGGACGATGGAGCGTGTCCCCGAACGGAAGAGCTTCGGCTGGGAGCCATTTGTGTTGATTCTTTATGTATTGGCCGATGCCTTTGGCGGGGCCTGTAGCCTGCCGCTCGTGTCTACAGCATTGAAATAACCCAAAGGCTACTGGTCCCCATTATTGTGTCATGGATATCTCCATCTTCAGGGCTACGATGTGCCGCTGGTAGCAGACATCCACTTCCAGCCGAAGGTCGCCATGGATGTCGCTGAGGTTTTCGAGAAAATTCGCATCAACCCAGGAAACTTTGTGGACGGCCGCAAGACTTTCGAAGAGTACGTCTATGACTCAAAGGTGGGCCATAGTTGATTGCTTGCTCCTTTTGGCAGGAAAATGCGCACAGAGGGCCATGAGACACGCTATCTACGCCGAGAACTCTAGGACCCTTGGATCTCCGATTAAACTATTCAAGTGCTCCATGAAGTATATAGATATATTGGCAATCTTATTGCGAGCGCTCACTTGGATGTTTTGCTATCGGCTAACTGTAAAATTGCTTGTGCAACACAGGAGGAATTTGATGCGGATCTCATCCCCATCGAAGCAAGCTTCAAGCCTCTTGTACTCAAGTGCAAGGAGCTGGGCAGGGCCATGCGCATCGGCACCAACCACGGATCTCTCTCTGCTCGGGTCCTATCGTACTACGGCGACACCCCTCGCGGCATGGTCGAGAGCGCTGTGGAGTTCGCCAACATCTGTCGGTGCGTCGGCCTGGCTACCGCTGCTTGCTGATTAATCCTGACATCGTGGCCGCGTATCTATAGGTGTATCCCTCATGTGTTGGACTGCCCTCTGGCCTCCAAGTGCGAAATGCCGGGAGTGATAATCCCGTGAGGTGGTGTTTCCTGTCTCTTACCCCGTCGTCAGTTCCCCACTAACCCGTCTTTTTTTGTCGCGCTTGCTCGCCACCCCCCAAATAACACGGACCGCCTGTGCTCCCCTTTGTTTTGCAGCAAGTATGACTTCCACAACTTCGTGTTTTCCATGAAGGCGTCCAACCCCCTCGTTATGGTCCAGGCCTACCGCCTGCTGGCCGCAGAACAGTACAGGTGAGGCATCGTAGCAAAATCGCCAGAATCTGAACAGTTTGTCCTGCATACACGTTCCTCCTCTGCTACTCGCTGAGAGTTGCTCATAGTCCGGCGATTTACGCATTTCGTCAACATTTGCTGTACCAACAGTCTGGACCTTAGACTACATGGTTTGATACTTCTGGTTGTTGACATGCCATGCTGGCCCGTGACCCCCGAAATTGTGACAGCATGATCTGTTAATATCTTTGCGCGTTGTACAGACGAGGGTGGGACTACCCGTTGCACCTTGGGGTTACGGAAGCGGGTGAGGGCGAGGATGGAAGGATGAAGAGCGCCATTGGAATTGGAGCTCTGCTCATGGATGGCCTCGGAGACACTATCCGCGTTTCTCTGACAGAAGACCCGGAGTTTGAGCTGAGTCCTTGCGCAGAATTGGCCGAGGTGAGTTCTTTGCCCTTAGTGACCAACACAACGTATCTTGGGGGGGTTAGCGTGCACCATTGGTTCGCTGTGAGCTTCGTGTCCAACCCGAGAGTAAGACGTGTACTTCTGCTGGGTGTTTCGTCGTGATAACTCAGATCGGCAAGCGCGCTACGGCAGACACTGCCGGACACGCGGCAGTGCCCGCCTTCGAGGAGACCACGAGAGACTTCCAGTCCTTCGAGCGCAGGACTGGGGCCTTGCCAGAGCAGCAGGTGAACGGGAGCTACCTGTTGAATGTTTTGTCGACCGTTGAGCTATAGCGGTGAGGCGGAATTGAACCTGCACTGTCTTCTCTAGATGAAGTGGTGTCCAACCACATTCGCGTTGTTCTTGCCTTGTTGGATATCCATTTGTCTTTATTGACAACACACTTATTTGAGTGCCTATCGGTCCAGCTGGTCCCAACACCAACAGCCCGGTGCGACAGAGCCACCAACACCGCAACAATGTTTGAATGCTTCCACTGTCCACTGCTGTCGTACCCAAGAGAGCGCACGATGCAGTTCCGATGTAGTTGCACACGCGCGTCGTGACGAAAAAGTGTTTTTCTGAGCCACGTAGGGTGGAAGTCGTGCAGATCTGTTCGTTCCTGTTTCGAACTCCCCGCGCCTGGCGCTGAATGCCGACGACGTACATAGGAAACGGACCCAGTCGACGTGCGAGGCTACCTGCACCGCGATGGCTCGGTGATGATGCCAATCTCCGTGGAGGACCTGCAGAACCCTCAGGCTCTCTACCAAGTGGTGGGTGGATATCCTGCCACATGGTCATAGACAAGTGGAGAAATGCTGCTGCGGGTGCTTGCTCTTTTGATTCTAAATTTAACATCAGTACCCAGACGTATCGTTTTTCACGCGAACCGTGTTGATCATTCCGTGCCACCCACGTCATTTCCTGTGCCTACATTCGCTTGGCTGATTTTGTTTGTGGATATACGCAACATTCAGAGGTTGCCAGTCGAAAGAGCCGGGTGGTGAAGATCTAAAAAGTATCCCCGAGGTCTGTGTGATTGCCCGACTTGCCTCTGTCACGCTTTGCTGCGCGCCTTTTGGGTCTATCGCAGCTTGGATTCAAGACTGCCGTAGGGATGCCGTTCAAGGACATCGCCACGACCGACAGCGTGTACCTGGAGCAAGTCCCTGCCACAGATGACAAGAAGGCGCGCACTTCACTTCGCCGAATGCAGGAGGTGAATCGTTCACGAATTTCGCTTCCACACAATATACAACACAATCAACTGCACCTTGGGTAACTGTGTTTCTGCTGCGCTTTATCACCGCAATGGTAGAATATGAGCTGTATGAACCCACATTCTTCATGCTACCACAAAAGCTTGCTTCTGCTCTGCTTATGTCACAAGTAGGGATGTCCCGCACCCAGCAACGTGCAGAAAATATTGGCCATCGTGTGGTGGGTCGAACTGCATCATAGTTCTCGTCGTGCTATTCTAGTAGCTATGATAATGTTCGGACATGACAATTGTGCAGATTTGCTTGATGGAGTGTCAGACCACCGCAATGAAGATTTTCAGCTCTATTGATTGTGATCGACGTTGCCTGTTAGGTTTTTGACACAGCATGCGGAACTTACTGCGCGGAGCTGATGCCGAGTGGTCTCCGTTTTACTCAATACATGCCCACGGCTCAATTGCTTCCGTGTGTTTGTTGCATGTCATGTGCAGGCGGGAGTTGGCGTCTTGGCACCGCTGGCGGCCTTGGAAGCCAACCCAATTGCGAATGCTGTCGCAGTTGTGTCTCTGGAAGACGTGGCAAAGTCAGGAGGGCAAGTCAACCTGCCGGAAGGCGCCATCAGGCTTGCTGTGGAGATCGAGGTGAGACTCGGTCGGCTCCTGGAGCCCTGCCTTGGATTTTTTTTTACTTCCACGGCTGGAACAAAAATTTGCGAAGTGGTTGTCTCCGATCAGCGGTAAACGAGGTTGATCTCGGCTTTCGTACATACCTGGTACAGGTTTCCCCTTGCTCTGAAATCAGCGGCATTTCGTCTCTTGAAAACCTGTAGCTGTCACGGATGTATGCTGCTCAGGGTTTCCTGTTCGATACTCCCGAGTAAAGCTCGGACTATATCCTCGCGAGGGCACCGCGGGTATGAAAGTCCAGTGCTTATGTCGGAATTACGTAGCCGTTTATTCGTTTAGTCAGGACTTGAAAGTGACCCTGTTGGTTGTTTCAACGTACGTGCGTCGTGGTCTGATTCCGTCATCACAGGGGACGGAAGACCTTTCGGTGCTGTCCAACATCTCCCCGAAGCCCATGGTGGGCCTTCTCAACGTGCCAGCTGGAGTCAGCCGCGTTCATGCTTCTCGGCGAGTGTTCCAGCACCTCGCGGACGCCAAGAACGATCTGGCCGTTATTCATCTTGCGTCTTTCCCAGATGCCTCGGAGGTATGATGAATGTGCCGCATGCGTGCTAGTCACCTTAACCCCGTACAGGATGCGGCTGATACCTGTGGGTTGACGGTGATTGCGACTGTTCCAAACAAAAGTTGTGCCATGACCGTGCAATTTCTTCTTTCTGTGCCGCCGTGCGCCGTGAGCAGATGACGCAAGATAAGTTCATCCTGAGCGTCGGGGCCCAGGTGGGAGGCTGCTTGGTGGACGGGCTGGGAGACGGTGTTATGGTGCAAGCTCCCGGCCTGGATGTGGGCATGCTGCGCTCTGTCTGCTTCGGCCTCCTGCAGGTAGAGTACTGAAGTTGATTCGGTCACGCTGGTGTATTTCCTCACTCTTACCACACAAGCTGATTTTAGATATTCCCGCCGAATCGGAACATGTCATGTCTTTTTAAGATGTGAACTTGGATAATGCACGTAGTTGTCAGTCTGTTTTGTTTACTCACTGATCACGTTTTGTTTTCGAGCCGTGTTGATGCCGCGTTCTCCAGGGGATCCTGACAGGACCCGAAAGGTAGAGCGAAGCATTGTTCATCGCTTGCGGGCAGGCACTGCCATCAGCGTGTGGTAGCATAGAAATAATGTATCTCATCAACAGGGATGTTGACGTAGGTTTCGCCGTTTTGCAGATCGTAGTGGGCGATCAATCCTAAAAATAGGTTTTCATTTGCCACGCGTGCTGCTGTTTGTGTGGCAGGGATGCCGCATGCGCAACACGAAAACGGAGTACGTGTCTTGCCCGAGCTGCGGACGAACCCTCTTCGATCTTCAAGAGGTGAATAGGTTTAGCGCAAGCTCAAATATCCGTGCAGCTGTGCGCGGAGGGCATTGGTGGAGAGACAAATGCTAGCACGGGCATGCTCGTAGTTGATCGCTTTGCTCGCGTGTAAACTATATGGTGCACAAGTGTTTCCAACTGGCCATTTACTGCCCGCTGTTTTGCGTGTCCTGCGTCAACCTATGCAGGTGACAGCGCAGATAGCTGAAAAGACCGGGCACTTGCCGGGGGTTGCCATTGCCATCATGGGTTGCATCGTAAACGGCGTGGGAGAGATGGCAGATGCCGATTTCGGATACGTGGGTGGGGCACCTGGAAAGGTGAGAATTTTGAAATACTGCATGTTGTACACAGGACCTCGACGGCCAGGCTCGGATGCTTCTGGCCGGAGTAGAGGCTACAAGTATGGGGCAATGCAAAACAGGAAATACGCAAACAACATCCGCCACTGATAATGTATTTTGGCATTGGCACTTTACAATGTTGCCCAAAATCTGCAGGTGGATCTTTACGTGGGCAAGGAGATGGTGCAAAAAGGAATCCCCAACGAGGAGGCCTGCGACGCCCTGATTGATCTCATCAAGGCGAACGGTCGCTGGGTTGACAAAGAACCGGCCGAAGAGGAAGTCGTGGCCGCGTGAACCGCGTGAAGGATCAAATCCACTCTTTTCCGAGGGAAGGAATTTTTTTTCGAGCGATGTAGGGTTTTGTTTTAGAGAGAGACGACGTTCCAACTAATCGTTTAGTGTTTCACAAACTACACTAGGTGCGCACACGGATCTACCCGGTACTTGTCACCTAGGGCTATCGTGTACATTCCTGATCTTTTGAACCAGTATCTGCCCGGCAAATATGGCATGCCCTGTCACCCCTGACACATGCAAAAACAAACGAGTACAGCTCGTTCCACCTCGAATCATAACGCGTTTTCTCGTTCGGGCGTCCCGTTCACCCGCACCAAAATCCTCAGTCTAGTGTAACGAACCCCGTCGTTCTTCATTCGAGAATTCAAGCTGTCTCGATCGAGGCGCTCTAGCTGGGGCACGCCTGGTGACTGCAGGCTTCTTTTTCAAGAGTGACACATTCGTGGTGCTTGCCTCACGAAAACAACGGCAATCTCAAAAACTTTAACTTGTCTATATTTTCTTATTTACTCGACGCAAAAATGCACGGAGCCTGCTTTTTTGGGAAAAGAACCACTTCTCTCGTGCCGAACACAACCAATGGCTTCCCCACCCTCCCCCCTCCCGCTTGGCAGCGTACTGCTCTTCGTAACAGGCCAAGCTACCTAACTGCTACGTATCTTCACTTCTTAACTCCCTCTTCACAGGGATGGCCGTATGATTAGCTCCCACTCTGCAGAGGGACAACCGTTCGGTTTGTCGTTTGAACAAGGGTCTCGTATGCGATTTGAACTGGCGTGGACCACTTGCCACTGTCTTTCATCGCCGCCTTTTTCCTCCTGCATGTCTTCAACAGATCGTTGATGCGAACGCTTTCCGGCAACCCACCACGTTGGATGACCGTGTTTGACATTGCGTTCAAGGTCGAAACCGCTTCTTCGTCTGTCTCAACAGCGAGGAACGCGTCCAGTTTTTTTACGAACTCTTGCTTGTATGCCCGTTGAGCAGCAGAAAAATCAGCTTGCCGAGCCTCCATCGCCTTGAACTCCGCCGTAGGCTCTTTCAGATACTCTTTCTGCGAACGGAAAACAACACCAGCAGCGCACAGACAACCAAGACGCTTGTTGACCACGAAAGGGCAGGCTGCGCGAGCATAATTACATACTTCACTACGTCTATAGGTGCACATAGGCACATGCACGTAACAAAATACTTTACAAGAAAAACCTAACAGGGGGGACGCCGTTCGAAAAACGGACCTGCGTGTCTGTGCGTCTGAGTCTTGTGTGTGTGTCGATAAAAGCCAGGAGACTGGCGCTCATTTCACCAACTAGGCACCAAACTACAAGCCAAGACTTGTGCCCAATGAGTATGTTCCGCGTGTTGTCACAACCTCTTCCCGCTCAATGTGTGATCAGCGCGTCGAGCTAGTAGCGCTGTCTGCCGAACTTCTTGTCTGGAAGGATGCATCCCACCGAAAAAGAGAAAGGCATCGTGATGGGTATGCTGTGTGCTGTATGTCCCTCGTAGTTAGAGGGGGAGAGAGAGGCGAATGAGGGGGTAGGGACATGCCAGCCGAAGAGAGGCGGGGCGGTGTGACCAACTCTTGTAGTGCTGTTCAATAGTGAGGCTGTGGAGGCGAGGAGGGAAGCGGCCGGGCGTGTGGGCACACATACTCATCCATCCAGTGTGGGTTTTGGTCGCGGCGCTTATTCTTTTCTTCACGCGGGAGAGCAGATCATCAGCAGAGCATGCATGCATGGAATAGACACACACAGAGAGAGGAGGCTGATCTACCTCACCGCTGAGAACGAGGATACAGCAGTAGATAATCGACGTCACCTTGGGTAGGTACATGTTTCTTGTGTTGCTGCTGATACTTACAGTTATAATAGTCCTGGTGGTGTGCGTTTTGGGTGGGGTGTGTAAGCAACACAACAAACAACAACGAACGGCAGAGCAGCAGCAGACAGGATATACAAACAGCTAGAGCACACACCCGTTCCACCAACACCATGGTGGATGACAATGTGTAGAGCTCTAGGCTGCTGCTGGTGCTGTACACTAATACAGGGTGTCGAGTGTCCGAACCTGTTCCTGCCCTGTGCTCCTCATGCACCACGCACTTTTTGAACGAGCGCGGGCATCTACTACATAGCCTTGCAGACACAGCAGCAAAAACAAGTATTGCCCCTCCCAATCTTAACAGCGGCTCGCAGCCATCTGCCACTCTGTCTCACATATAGCAGCACCGCCGTGGTGGCATCCAATAGAAAATCTGTTGTGGGCCGAACATGAACATGTTTGTGAAGTGATGAACTCGGTCGGGGCCATCAAACTGCAGCTACCTCATGAAGTGATATTGTAATATGACATACAATCATAGCGTAGACAGAGTGGTTGGTTACAGATCTATTTACTATTGTGATACTGTGATGGACCACATGTGCAGGCCTCCTCTTGGTGAACGCCTCTGACGTACATAAACGGATCTACGACTGAGGTGCCGTTAGGATGCGCATGTTGAACAACCACCAGCTCCTATCACATGTGCATGCTGAAAACAACTTCTTCATGTACCCTATCGAGCTGTCTTGCTTGAACACAAATTACACCCTATTATTTCCTTTGAAAAGTCCAGCATAGTTGCTGCCGTTCTGGGTGTGGGTTAGTGTGGGTCTGCTCCGGTGGAAGGATACGAGGCTTGTGCGTGGCGAGACAACGACCAACAGAGGGCAGGACGCCGTTTGTCGAACCCTACGGAGCACGAACAAACGTACATGCACCAACGCGTCATACTCCCGGAATACTTTGCTACCACTGACCTCGTACGCTGTCGCTCGCTCCGTCGCCAATCCCAGCCCTAATACTCCCGCCCCGATTGCCCCAACCAGCTGATCACTCAAGAAAGCCCTCCTAGTCGCGCTCATGACCATTATCGACTGCTGCTGCTGTCGACTCCGAGGCAGAGCCGGACGAGGATGCACAAAGGCATCTGCACCCTTACGCGGGAGAAGAAGGGTGAGCGCCGATACGACGAGCGTGATATACGAAACAGGAGCCATCTTGTAGCGAAAAAAAGGAGCGCACTCACACAAACGGAGGTGAAGTGTAGAGTCACGGGGACAGCGCGCACAGCACGCAAGAGAGAGCGGATCATTCACCAGCGTCGGACAACGGGGGGGCACACGCGTGCGAGAGTGGCAAGGGGGTGGGTGGGTAGGGGGCACCGATAGTCAAGATCCAACACCCGCCTCGCTGACTTGTGTTGTGGGGCGCGTGCAGATCACTGCCACACCGCCTTGCTCTCCCGCCAGACACAAGGGCAACGACAGCGCCTCAAGCGAAGAATGTCACTGAGTATCGGCTCTACCGTGACTCTGAGCGATGGGATCATAATGCCACGTGAGTACTCGCGCATGGGGCCCGTTTGCACCTTTTCAGTACAAGTGCGTGCATGACAGGGCGGGTAAACCAACCAGCGGACAAGCACGTTTGCCTGCTGTGTGAGTACTGCTGTACACTGGCAGCAGCATCTGTATCGTCTGTTCCGCAACATCCTCCCATGGTTACTTGTGCTTCGGTCCTTGATAATTCTGAATGCAGGACTTGGCCTTGGCACGTGGAGGAGCGCGACGGGAGAAGTAGAAACTGCTGTGAAGGTATGACACACATGTTTCTGCGACGCCACGGGCGGATTTTCACGTTACGTGCCGTTGTTGCAAATCTGGCTTTGATTTCTTGAGACTGCTGATGTTTGACAGCTCCTGCTGCTGCGGCTGCTGCTCCTGCTCCTGCGCTGCTGTACGCTTCAGGTTGCGAGATTGCTTGGATAGGCTAGACTTGGCATGTCCAAACGGCATGCTTGGTTAATCGCATGGTCGCATGATCTTTCATGGATCCTGGGATGGCAGACAACGAATTTTATGCATAGTCTGTTGACCAATTGAAAAACAAACGCAAGGGCACAAGAAAATGACACGAGACCCACAAGACCAGTCGGAAGGCTACTGGAAAAACAGAACTCCTTGATCCTCGCACAGGGCAGCAGTAGAGGCTGCTCTAAACAACATATTATGAGTCTACCTCCACACGCCTCGTCTGAAACCAAGACAAAAATTCACACCAGAACGGTACTTGTAGGCGCTCAAACGATTGGTATTGCATTAGACCTTAAGCATTCTACTGATATCACTGGGGGCCACCCTATAGCAGCGGGGTGTGTGTGTTGGCGCGCTCTAATCCGCTTCTTGGGGTGGTGATATCGAGGGTCGCAGTATGCATAGCGGCCTACATAATCTCCGCAAATTAGACCCACACCCGTGTCTTGTGTACCATACTGCTTGTTCTCGCCGCCATTGACCCTAATCTCCTGAACTTCGGGTTACGGCTGACGACCCGAGGTTCAGGGTTTTACGGTCCGTGGCAGTGAGCACGGCTGTGACAAATATTGGGTTACGGCGCAGATTACGGACTGTTTCCACCGGACACTGCTGCGACCTTCAATATTTCAGCTCCAGTACCAAACCTGAACGTGCCAACACACACGACGCGTCTTCACGGTGTCCTCTACTGATGACAGCAGTACAATGCATAAGATCTAATCTAAATGGCAGCAAGGTTGCTTTCTATTGTTGATTTTGGGTAAAGTGTTAGCTGCCCCCGTGCCTTTCCACGGAGGCTACCGCGCCCTCCCACGGTAGTATGAGTTGTGTCTGGGGACATTTTAAAACCCAGGACCGATGTAGATGACAAAAAAGCTTGATTGTACACACCGTGCTCCTTCCAGCACTCTGAAGTATAGTGAAGTTGACAGATATTATACCATAAACACATGCGCGTGCTCTCTCTCGAGGTGCCCCGAACTTGGACCCCCAACAGCATAGCCCCCCCCCCAAACATTTCTCCAGATCGAATCTTGTATCCAAGTACCCCAAACAGCCCCGCTGCTCTCTTACATTCTACGATCTTGAAGTCCTTCGTGAATAATCATCCAACATATACA